CGAAAGTAGCCTTTGAGCCCAGAGAAACAATCTGTGAGCGGAAAACCCCAGATTCCAGCCCCGCTTGAGCACTTGTTCAACCACATTGGAGAATAAGGATGCTGAAAATGACAATAATTGGAGAATAATTTGCAGAATCGGAGATGGAGAGTGCTTCTCGTGCTAAGAGTTAGAGTTCTGGTGGAGCATTATGCTGTGCACTAGGTTACAGAAACGACGTCCTGTTGACCTCCAATTAAAAAAACACAATTTTGATTGTCGTTAACGACATTATGTTGTGCATAATTTGAATTATACATCCATAACTTCATAACTATACATTCAGAATTGCATAACTACACATCCATAACTTCATAACTATACATTCAGAATTGCATAACTACACATCCATTAACTTTATAACTATACATTCAGAATTGATAACTAGACATCCATAACTTCATAATTATACATTCAGAATGTGAAATTATAATTTCATAACTATACATTCAGAATTGCATGCATAACTACACATTCATAACTTCATAACTATACATTCAAAATTGCATAACTACACATCCATAACTTCATAACTATACATTCAGAATGTGAAATTATAAAATTATGAACATATATTGACATAACTAACGGGAATCGAAAATGATTTTTTTTTTTAAAAGTAAAACGACGCCGTTTTTGCAACCGTGTGCACCATGCATGACGCACACGGTTGCACAACATAATTTGCCATATAACATCATCCAAACCCTAAGGGGGCGTTTGGTTCGGGTTATATAGGATAACTAAGGTTATATTGGGTTAGTTATCTAACATTCCTATGTTTGGTTGGAGTTATATAACATTCCCTTGGAATCAAATATTGCCTCCACATCAGATTTTTCCTTGTTTGTGAGGGAATGTGATTCCCTTGTTCATCTTAGGTAATGTTAGATTCCCTTGCCATTTTACCTTCCTTGCCCTTCATGTTTGCAAGGTGATTTGTAATATGAGGGTATTAAGGTAAAATAACCATTATAACATAAACAACAAATCATCAACCAAACAGGTTTATATTACATAACTCAGTTTTTACCAAACACAGGAATCTAACATTCTCAGTAATCTAACATTCCCAACAATCTAACATTCCCTAAGGTAATCTAACATTCCGTGAACCAAACGCCCCCTAAATCCTATTAGACTGACTCTTCATCTTCTGCATATTCTCTCATCCGCATTCTCTCGTACTAGACAGTGTTCTGCCTATTCTCTAATCCGCATTCCTAAACGCATCCGCATGCATGGTGGACACAGTTACACAGCATAATTTGCCAGTTCTAGTCGACATGATCGTCGAAACTAAAAGTGCTGCAAATTTGAAACTCCGGCAATTTAAACGTTACGATCCAATATTGGCCAGATTCTAACGAATGTAGATAGCTGAGCCCAATAATGAGCCCAGAACAAGGCCCAATCAACATGTAGGTAATAGAGGTCAAATTATAACCCAAAACGACATCGTTTCGTACCTTTTCGCGTGTCTGCTGTTAACTCCTTAAAAAAATTCATGTTTCGAATGTACAAAATTATATAATAAAATATACAGAATTTTATACCTTTTATAACTGAATACACATAATCTTTTTTGAAAGGATAATACACATAATCTAACATAATACATAATATACATAAACTCTTAACATAATACACATAAACTCTTAACTCTTAAAAAAAAAAATCCATGTTTCGAATGTACATAATTATATAATAGAATGCACAGTATTTTATACCTGAAAACACAAAATTTTATAACTGAAAATTTACATATTTCGAATGTACAGAATTATATAACAGAATGTACATAATTTTATACCTAAAATTAACAAAACGATGTCGTTTTGGGAGGCGTGGGGAGCACATTGCTATGTGCGCCCTGGTGCACGGTATAACGATTGGTAAGAAAGAGAGAGAGAACTAGGGAAGAGAGAGATTTGTCTATATAAGGTCAAAGTCCTGAATATATAATACATATATGTATAGATTAGGATGAAAGATTTAATGAATATTGGGCTTGGATCTATATGTAACAATTATATATAATTTCAAGAATATGTATTGGGCCAAATAATTTCAATAATAAATAAATAAGTAGGATAAGGAGAAAGTCCATAATACTAAGAATTAAATGTCTTAGAAATAATATATATGGACGATTTCAAAGAATTGGGCTCAATAAAAGAATAATTCCATCTTAGAAAATAATTACAGGAAATGATTCGGAATAATATATTACGGGGTGTCACACTCTACCCCCTTGAAAGGAGTTTCGTCCCGAAGCTCAAAAGACATTTTGAAGGTAAGAAGTCAAAATGAAAATGGGACAGTGAAATATTCAAGGAAAACATATCTGATTTCAAAGAATTTGACCGTGCAGAGAAAAGAGAGTGATGATTGAAATTTTCAAGCTTAGGAACAACACAAGTTAAGAATAGGATCAAGATTATTAATAAGGACATGCAAACTACCATTTGGAAAGAAAACAATGGAGAAGTTTTTGAAAAATAGACAGGAGTTTCAACAAGGGAATATGCGATTCTTCAAAGGAAACGAAAGATGCAGTCTAAAAATGAAGCAAGAAACTCGACTACAACCTAAAAGATAACACTTCAACAGAATAAACTCACCAAAAGATGCACACCATCCGAGTGCAATAGCCAAAAGCACGATTAGAAACAACAAGGTACAGAAAGACAACTTAAACAATAAGGTAAACACACAACCTCACCGCGATTCCTATTAGCCTCACAAATCCTAAGGTCTCAACTTAGGCTCTTAAAGTAAGGTTCTTAACATCCTAGGCTCGACCTAAGCTCTTATAGTTAATCATTATCAATCCCAAAGACCTACAACCATAGGCTTGACAAGGCTCTGATACCAATTGTAAGTCTGTAACACCCCCCCCCCCCCCCCCCCCCCCAATTTTCTAAAACGGAATATAAAAAATAGATAACATTTTCTTATTTAAAAGACGAAATTGAAATGCTGAAGCGAATTAGAACTTTAAAACAAAAGGAGTGTGCCACGCTTGGACAACCATCTAAATCCAAACGCACAAGCTACAAGGTTCTACCTATAAATCCAATTACAAAGCAACTATAAAACATCTCAAGATCTAATCTAATCCATTATACCATGAACAACTTTAGGGATTCTAGTTCTACGCCACGCTCTCAACTAGCCACAAGATCTAGTCCTGAAAACATGGTTCAAACATTAGCGAAAGAATGCTAAGTAAATTCCACTCAAACTCGTAAGACTACATACATATACTTTTGTTTTCGAAATAGGTTTTGAGACTGACATATAGAATATATATCAATGTAACCAACTCAACAGAGGTTTTCAAAAGATTCAATTACCCAGGAATACTAAGTTCAAGACCAGATCAAGAGAGAGAGACACCACAATGATACTCAATTCAACTCCGAATTAGAGAGACAGTTCAACGAGAGATAACAACAGCAGTAGACAAAGGGTCTCATAAACAAGAGGCTCATCCAACGATACTCATAGGTATAAATATAGAAGGGAATGGAGATATGCCAAATCATACAATCAATATACTTTCTAGTTCAAGGCATAGTAGCATGAATATGTATACAATACCAAGTCTCATATCAACAATGGAAATATCATAGCAATGCATAATCGAGGTAATCACAACAACCAAGTATCACATGGAACAAGTGTGGAGGGCTTCCATCCAACATCAATATCACAAGTAATCAATGAAGACAGCTCAAGATCCTTAAGCGTACACACCCCTATTGGGATCTCTAGGCCCCAATAAGTAGGACTAAATTCGACAACCCAAGATATGTTTCTACCAGGTTACCCACAAATCAATAATCCAAAGGGCAACTTAGAGCTTTCAACACAACTAAATCGGTTCACAATGGTTGATCGGTGCTTTCCACACCAACGACCTGTCTAGGGCTTCCCACACCAACATAACCCATTGCAAATAGAGCTAGAGGCCCGCCAAGATCAAATTAATAAGTCCCCACAATGTCCATAACCAGCAAAGTAACCTCAACAAGGAATATACAACAACAAAGGCATGCTAACAAGTCAAAGGATTCTAAAAGGATTCTAAAGAGAGATACAAATATGAATAGGTCAAGGTGATGATTCAAGCTCATATCAAGGTAAGGATTATCAAAGGAATCATACTAGAATCAAGGAATCAATATTACTAGCATGTCAGCCAACAAAATACTCTCAAGAGAGAAATAGAAGGGATTCTCAACATAGATTTCAACATCACTCAAATAAATATCAAGACTAGGATTCATAGATGATCAATAGCTTATAATCAAAGTAAATGATTCATAAGACATAGCTGTAGACCCGAATATCATCAATAGATAGTCAAAGTTACACTAGAGACAATAAAACAGTACAGGAAGCAAAACAATCAACATCACGCGGGCTTGGGAGGTGGGGTTAGAGGACCCGCTGTCCACTACATTAGGAACAAACGGTGGGAAATGGCGGATCCTCCACTCCCACCAAAGCCTCCCTCAATGCTCTAACGGGGTGGACTCACGGGTGTGACAACCCCGTGGGTCACTCCCGTTAGGCCAATCACGAAGTAGAAACTGTTAGACTTCAACACACAATCACTAGTACAGATTTGCACATCCGCTACCCTTGTAAATGGTTATCCGCTACCCTTGTACAAGGGTAGCGGATGTGGGGGACGCTGAAACCCTTGAGGTTTCTGTGTCCCTTGTACAAGGGTAGTGGAAAGTTGAGCATCCGCTACCCTTCTATAAATAGAAGGGTAGCGAATACCATAATTTATTATTATTTTTAATGCGAATTATTTTTTTGTAAATAATTATTTATTATTTTTAAATTCTCTAATTATTTTAATCATATATAAAGTTCATACACTACAAATCAACACAATACTAATCATCAACATGATATTATCAACAAAGCATCATACGACAATATTATCAACCAATTATATATTAACATTAACACATCAATTAAATGATAACAAATATTACACACCAAATAAAATTAAACAAAAAAAAAAACACTATCGAAATTTGGAATTGCATTGTGAACAGTGAAAGAAAATGAAATTCAAAATGCAAGTCAACAACGAAAGAAGATAAGAACAAGGAAAAATTAAAGAAATGAAAAAAAAAATTAAAAAAATTTGACAGTCACTACGAGCATGCCTGCGTCGACAGACTTCTTCTTCGCCATCTACAGTTTCGCATTGCCGTCTGTCCGACAGTCTTCTTCCTCTGCTTCGTCTCTTGCCGTCGTCGCTCAGCGTCCTTGCTCGCTTCACTATCTACGGCTCGCAATGCACAGAGGCTTTGGCTATTCCACTACCAAGCTGCGGTTGCCTCGGGATCTCCAGATCTGAAGAAAAAAAGGGGATGATGTTGGCGGTTCCGGATGTTGGTGGTGGTGCCGGTGAGAAGAGAGAAGAGTCGACAGCTTTGTGAGAGCCTTATTACCAGATCTATGCCGTCGAAACCATTCCCTCACGATCTGAACGGCTAACGACAAAGGAGCTGTGCGACCAAGCCGATAAATCATTGTTGTCGAAGTCGTCGTCAGTTGTCACAATCGCCAACAACTCGCCGCCGTCGAAGCACTACCCGCCACCAACAAGCGTCGTCGTGAGGCCACCGTCGAAAGAACTACCCGATGGTGTCTCATTAGAAGCAGAGAGAAGAAGAATTAAAGGTTCGCTGGTTGATCTAAAGAGAAGAGAACATTTGTATGTTTTGGTGGATTTGGTTGAGATGAGAAGAGGAGATCTGATAGATTTGAAGGGTTTGGAATTTGGATGGCCTTAATTTGTAGATCTGAAGTTTGAAGGCGTAAAATGAAACTGATCCGTGGCTTATATATTTTATTTTTCGCTCCCCTTTCTCAAAGAAAGCGTAGCAGACAATTATATTAATTTAAAATTAAAATAACTATCCGCTACCCTTTCTCCGAAGAAAAGTAGCAGAAAACATATACATTTTTTCAACCGCTACCTTTTAAAACAAAAGGGTCGCGGTTTCTTATTCATTTATTTACAATTATGCCACCGTCCCTTTATTTTTTAACAATACACTACCCTTGTTTGAAGAAGGGTAGCCTAAATTCAAATTTCTTTGCTCCTTTTTGTACTAGTGAATGCAAGATTAGACATAACAACATCATATTCTCAGAGCAAAATATACCAACATCAACAAGAATCTAAGAATAGAAGAATGACACATCAAAGCACAAGAAATACTCAAGATTACAAGCTACATTTCAAGCATAAACAACAAGAATATGCTCAGGGTATTCAAGAAACATCAACAGTACATATAAGAGTGGAAATAAGTTTTGTTAGAAATGGAATTTACCTCTCATGCTAGAAATCCAAAGCAAAACCCTCCTAGAAGCTAACTCTAGCTCATCTACTTCCACTTGATCATCTTAAACCCAAGAAATCATCATAAGGAGAGGAATAAGGAGCTTAAAGATGAAAGGATGGAAATATAAAGGAAATCTTACCATGGTGAAGGAAGATGGAGCTTAGCCAATATCAATTGTGACACCCCGTAAATACAAATACTAATCGAGGATTAATTGAATAATTAATCCAAGTTTCCTTGCTAATCTATTTCTAAAAATCCTGAAATTTAATAGTCGAGGGATTAGATTTTGACTAGTCACTTAAGTCAAAAGGTTGTACCTTGTGCTTCTTGAGTTGTGCCCTTGTTCCCTTGTCTTTCCAACATTAGTAAGGGTAGGAATGTCTTTCTACCTAAGATTTGTGTGATTCAAGATAACCTAGCAAGACTCTCTCATTTCATTCACCCTTCAACCTAAAACTCAAAAACTCTAGCCTCTCTCTAAAATGATTTAGCTTCTTCTCCAAGCAAGAAATTGAGCATCCAAGCCTTGCAAGATTTTCTTCCAAGATTCCTACTTTCTTCATCTTGAGCATAGGAAAGGGTAAGATCCTTAGCTTTTTGGTGTTTTTAACCTTCTTTTAGGTGTCTTTTTCTAAAGTTAGGATCTTTGTTGTGTTTTGTTGTGTGTAAGAAGTTGGTGTGGAAGAGGAGCTCTAAGAAAGGCTTTTAAGGGTGAAAAGAAGAAGTTGTTAGGCTACAAAGGTAACCCATGCTTTACAAAACCTATTTTCTTACTTATATGATGATTCTTGGCTTCTACTTGTGATTCTTGTGTTGATTTGTGAGATTTGATGCATTATCTTGTGGTGATGCATGTTTAGAGCTTGTTCTTAGGGTTCTTGAATGCCATTGCTTGGCTATTTCTTGGGTTCAAGTCATATTATTGTTGTGTGTGAGATTTTGGGTGTTTTGGACTTGAACTTGGCCTTGTTGTTGATTTTCCCCGAAGGGAATTGTTGGTGTACAGGTTGGTACCCGCGGGCGGAACGGCGGGCAGGGCCCTACCCGCCGCCCCACCCGCCGGGTACGTGGTCCTCGTGGGTGTATGTACCCGCGGGCAGAACTGCGGGTGGAGGTCCACCAGTGGCCCTACCCGTGGGGTACACTGTGGTTGTTGGCCGGGGATTTGTTCCCCGTGATTCTTTCGTCTCGGTATTGATGTTTTGACCTCCCGATGTTGATTTATTGGGCTATTTGTGAGTCTTCTTGATGTTTCGTATGTCTAGAACAGTGTGTTAGGAATCCATGTTGGATTTGGTGTCTTGAATCGTGCTAAGGGTCCAATTTGTGATTCGTTGGGCCAATGTGAGTCTTGAACGTTCTTTGGAACTAATTTTGGTTTACCCGTTTGACAACCATGCTAGTTTGATGTTGATATGCTAGTATGTGTGGTTTGTTCCTTCGTATTGGGATTGGCAACTTGTGTTGACAATCATTTGATGTTGGATGGTGATCCTTTATTGATTGAGTATGGTCTCATGTCTTTATTGTGATCCCTTGATTGATTCCTATGATATGACCGTATGTAAATCGTTGTACCCTTTGTTGATACTTGATTGAGGCTATTGTTGAGCCTTAGTCTTCTTGGTAATGATGATGAACTTGTGTGACTATGATTGAGATTGGTGGTTTGTTACTTGAGCTTTGCTCACGAGATTGGCGGTTTTGTGATTATGAAATTAATGGTACCCTCGTGTACTAAGAGATCGGCGGTGAATAGGAGTGTCGGCGGGGGGGGGGGGGGGGGGGGGGGGGGGGGGGCGACGGGCCCCGGAGGAAAAAGGTTGGACTCAGAAGTACAGGGTGGCACTAGGAGGTAATGGTTGGGACCGAAATAAGGCCGGGGGTAGCCATAACGTTGGAACAGGGCATAAGGTTGGAACTATGTAACTTGTGACATGTAGTTGTCACCGTGACATGTAGTTGGCACCGTGTGTGTGACACCCCGTAAATCCAAACTCTAGTCTAGGATTAATTAGAGAATTAATCCTAGCTTCTTTGTTAATTTATTACTAAAAATCCTGAAAATTCAATAGTCGGAGGACTAGAATTTGATTAGTCAACCAAGGTCAAAGGGTTGTACCTTATGCTTGTTGGGTTGTTCCCTTGTTTCCTTATTCTTCTAACTTTAGTAAGGGCAAAGGTGTCTTTTTACCTAAAGTTTGTGCTTCAAGCTAACCTAGCAACATCTCTTCATTTCATCCACCAACACTCTAAACACAAAATCTCTACCTTCTCTCTAAGAATTTGGTAGCTTCTTCTCCAAGCCAAAATTTGGGCATCCTAAATCTTGCAAGTTGTCTTCCAAGATTCCTACTTTCCTAATCTTGAGCATAGGGGAGGGTAAAATCCTTGATCTCTTGGTGTTTTTAGCATCCTTTTAGTTGTCTTTTTCTAAAAATAGAATCTTTGTTGTCTTTTGGTTTGTTTGTGAAGTTGGTGTGGAAGAAGAGCTTTAGGAGAAGCTTTCTAAGGGTGAGAAAGTGAAGTTTTAGGCTACAAAGGTAACCCATGCTTTACAAAACCTATTTTCTTACTTATATGATGATTCTTGGCTTCTACTTGTGATTCTTGTGATGAAATCTGAGATTTGATGCATTGTTTTGTGGTAATGCATGTTTAAAGCTTGTTCTTAGGTTCTTGTATGCCATTGCTTGGCTATTTCTTGGGTTCAAGTCATATTGTTGTATTGTGTGAGATTTTGGGTGTTTTGGACTTGAATTTGGATTTGTTGTTGAAAATCCTCGAAGGGATATTTTGGAGTACAGGTTGGTACCCGTGGGCGGAACGGCGGGCAGTGTACCACCCGCCGCCCCACCCGCGGGGAACAAGTGGTTGTGGGCTTGGTACCCGCGAGCGGTTGTCCACTCGTGGCCCCACCCGTGGGGAACATGTATGTTGGTTGGCGGGGATTTGTTCTCCGTGATTCTTTTGACTTGGTATTGATGTTTTGACCTCCCGATGTTGTTTTATTGGGTTATTTGTGAGTCTTCTTGATGTTTCGTATGTCTAGAACTGTAACACCCCCTATAAACCAAGCTAATTAAAGCCTTAAATATGCAGATATTTAACAAAATATCAAACACAGCGGAAGACTGAAAGAGAAATATATATAAACTAGAAGAAGAGGGGTGCTATGCCACGTTCATCTAGGGATGAATGCACAGGCTATCATCTGCATAAATCAAAGTCTAAAACCATACATGTTCAAAGTTCTAAGTCTAAACTAGCTCACAGGCCACAAAACATAGGGAAGGAGTTACACTAGCTGGCATTAAACCGCGCTCTCATCTAAACATCACCTGAAAGAAACACATAAAAGGATGAGACGACGCCCGGTCAGCGAATAATGCTGGTAACCCACCAATACATGTGAAATATCATACATAGATAAGATATATGTTTGTAAAATCATTTGCGAAACGGAATACATATATATATAAGTTCAAAACCAAGAGCAAAGGTCAACATAAGACTCAAAGCACTCACAACAAGATAAGGGAACACATCCCAAGACCACAAAGGACAACAACAACTCACAAGGATGGCTCAAGGTATAATCTATCATCACACAATAGATTAACACCCGACATGCACAACTCAAAGGATAAGGACATACCCAACGACAACACATGCCAAGGCAACACATGCCTTTGTGACTACACACGTCACAAGAAGAGAACTCACAACAACGGCTACACAAGCCCTCGTGACATCACCCATCACGAGTTGATATGCCTTCCTTATGCTCGGTTCCAACCTTATGGCTACCCCCAACCGTATATCTAGTTCCAACCTTTACCTCCAGGACCCCTGTACACCAAGTCCAACCTTATTCCTCCGGGAACCGTCGTTCCCCCTCCAATAGAACCACCGATTTCATAGTACATGAGGGTACCGATCACACACACGGCAACACATGCCTCCCAAGAAATACGTGAACCTTACACAAAGGTCACAACTCCATAATCACGTCATGGCCACCACGAGGACCACTGCAATACCTTGGTGACTAGTGTCCCATACCACTAATTGTGCAATCCAGGTAAAGCCACACACAAATCACACCTCAACAGGAATCAATCAACGGATCACAACGAAGATATGAAACCATACTCAACCAAGGAATGGATCACAGTTCAACAACAACAATGATGAATAACTCAAGTTATCATCAACCAGTAAGAAGGTACGAACAACACACACGCTAGCATTTAAACACCGAACTAGCATGCTTAACAAACGGGTAAACCAAACGTAGTTCCGAAGAACACACAAGACTCATCACGGTTCAACGAAACACAATGTTGAACACTTAGCACGATTCAAGACACCAAAACCTACATGGATTCCTACCATATAGTTCTAGACATACGAAACATCAAGAAGACACTCAAATAGTTCCACAA